ATACCCTAAGGAAGTCCACTGAACATCCTATTCCCTGGCTGCCTGCCACCCCTCCCTTACAACACAGACATCCTTATTCCTCTTTTCACATTCTGAAGCTGTCCCCAGTAATGCCTTCTGGCTATCCCAAATATACTTCCTGCCAAACTTCTCCGAAAGTTATGTCCAGTCACACCATCCAGAGACAATGTGATAAAGCCATTCATTTTCCAAGTCCATTACCAAGCCTCTAGGTAATATCTACTCCCCTTCTGTTTTGGTCAGTTCAGGTATGCAGTCACTGGACTCAGTAATAACGTCTACACATCTGATACACAGTGGCAGAACTAAAATAGTAAACTGCAATGAAAACTATTGATCAAAGGAGAAAAGAGGAAAGAATTTCCAAGCCAGCACCATAAATTGGTTGCCAGTCCAGAGCATAGACCATACCCTATTGGAAGGGGATTGTAAATGGAAGTATAGGGTTAGTGAATCTCATTCTATCAGTTTCACTCATTTCTTTAGTGGTGGAACATGTTCCTTGGCCATCCTATCCGACTACCCCAGATTCAATCCTCTGGGTGGATTGCCCTTGTCTGGTGAGCTTTAAGACCGTCTCTTGGAAGAGAAGCATTGGGAAGACACCCCTGCAGAGGCTGTGGCCTTAACAATCCCTTCCCAGGTGGAGCTGAGCCTGGAGATTGCTGGCGAGACTGCCACTGTTGGTTTGAGTTAGTTGTAGTTCACGTATTCTTGGCTTATAATTTTTCTTCGGCTTCATTCTATAGAACCTTTCCTGGTTACCAGTTTCATTTTTGAGAATTCTCGTTGAGTCAGTCTCTGTGAGTCCTTAGGCCTGCTAGACCCAGTAGAAAGACCTTGGGGAGACCTACATATCTTCATTGTTCTTGGTCTCAACTACTGATGGAGACCAATGGACTCTTCCCAGCCCCCATGATACACCTGTCCCTCACTGTCTGAATCTATACAGTTCCTGAGTTCAGATAGTGAGGAATATCAAGTTATCCAAATGTATTTGGTCCATGAGTTTCAGATAATGTGTAGCAAACGATCAGATGTGAGGGATGCCTGTCTGTGTAAAAGCCTATAATGTTACTCTCCCAACTACAGAGAGTTCTGTGATCCCCCAGTCTAGAAGAATAAACAAGTTAAAATAGCCAAGCTCTTTTAGGAAATTGTGATGAGGGGGTGTTTTAGCAGGAAAAAACTCTTAGGTGGAGCCTGTGTGTCCACCTTGCGTTTCTGTCCATCAGCACTGGAAACTCCAGATCAGAGGACAGCAACGTTGCCACCACCTCTGTGTTCCCAAGTGCCAAGACCCTGCAGACTTGGGAGTGTAGCTCAGACAGGCAGAGTCCCCAGAGCAAGCACAGGGGACCACACTCAGGTATCAGCGGCCTGATAGCTCAGCCCAATGCAGTTCACCGGTCTGCAGGTGCAGCTCTGCACAGGAAAGGGTGACAAGGCAAAAATACCTAGCTCTTACACAAGGAGTGCTGCATAGCCTATCAAACATTATCATATTTTTTTATTAGGGAATTTTAGCACTAGTAATTTAACTGCCTGAAACTTTTTTTAGCCTATGCTTTACAAATTTTAATGTCCAGTTTGAGTGTTCTTTTAAATAAGAGCACGGTATTTAGTCGAAGTAGATTTTGGGCCCAAGGTGAATAAAATTTGGGGATTTTTTTTCCCATTTTCATCCTAGGATGGAGGCTTTGTGTGGTCAAATATTAAAATATATTCTAAAACATTGAAAATTGTAAAGTGTTGTATTGGTGGGGGAAGTGACAGATCAGTGGAACAAATAGAAGTATGTAGAACAAATCTAAATATATGTAATAATTAAATATATGAAAAAAGATTTTAAATTAGTGGCTAGCCATTATGAATATGTTAGATCTCCATCTCATACTTTACAATAAAATAAATTCCACGTTAATATTATAATGTAAGAAATAAAATTCTAGAGGAAAAGAAGAGGTGTCTTCTAAGTTATGTTCCCCCTACCCAAGAGTGAGAAGTGATAAAGGATTGATATAATTTCATCAAACAAAACCTTTAAACATTCTGTATATCAGAGAACATTATAAACAAAGTTAAAAGGCCACATATTTGACTAACAAAGAGTGAGTATCCTGGATACACTACAAGCTCTTATAAATCAGTAAGGAAGTAGTGAATAAACCAATAGAAAAATGGGCTAAGGACATCAGTGCCAGAGAAGAAATCCAAATGCCACCTTATGGTAACTTAAATTCATAATTAGAGATTATGATCCACTTCTCTCTGCACTTTGTGTTCTTTCTTTTGACATGGTCATCTAACCTTCTGTCCCAGCTGTACCTTTATAGTATGTTTTTAAATCAGGTAGACACCCTTTCATTTTTTTTTTGAAAGTGTTCTTTACTGCCCTTGCTCATTTGTTCTTCCAAATAATATTTTTTTTCAAGTTCTTTAAAATAACCTTCTTGGGATTTAAGTTGAAATGGCATTAAATCTAAAACTTATGTTGACTGAAGAAAAACACAACCTAAAAATTGCGAGATGTTTTATTTGGGGAGCTTACTGAAGACTGTGGCCTGGGAGACAGGCTCTCCGCTCTGAGGAACTGATCGGAAGAGGTAAGGAATGAGCCAGGATATATAGGAGTTTTTGCTGAAAACAAACATGTAGTTAGACATCAAACAATTACTGCTAATAACAAAAAACAGACCTCTTAAGTTAATGATTTTAGTGCTTTTCTAAGTATGGGAAGATGCAAGAGTCTCGGCTCGTTGAAATTATTCCTTAGAAATGTGTGGTAACTGTCTAGGGCCAGTATCCTGTTTTTTCTCGATCCTGAATTCCCCTCAGGACACACATTGTTGGGGGGGCAGGGTTTGCTGCAGTGGCTGATGGCTTGTTGTCGGGCAACATTTTTTTGTCCGCACTTATCTGAGATAGAGTTGACAGCATTATAATGTCCAGCCTTCCTATCCAGGTGCACCGTATTTCTCTCCATGTTGAAATGGAGCTTAAAACAACTCTTTCATCATGTTATCCCCCTGCTCAAAAAATCCTTCCTGGCAGCCTTTCACCATCTGTTTCTCAAATTCTTTTCCAGCTTCCTTTGCATGAACTCTCCTCTTCAGCCTGGCTGGTTTTCTGTCTCCCAGTCAGACCTCTTGGTCTCTTATATATCTCTGCTTCTGTCTGCAACGTCCCTCCCACCCCGACCCCGCTTCCTCTCCATCTCAAGGTTGTACCAGCTCAAGGAAGTGTCCTTGACAGAACTCCGTCCCACAAGGAGCACTTCCTCCTCTGTCCGTAGCGTATATTGTATTTCCTACTCAGCAGTTACTTGTGCCACGTATTCTGTTATTTTCCAGAATACTATTTGGTCTCCTTGTTTATTTTGTAAGCTTCTTGCAGGCAACAGTTCTGTCTCATGTTTTTTTTATATGCTCTGCTGTGCCCTTCCGTACAGTAGCCACTCTCCACATATGGCTCTTGAGCATTGAAAATGTGGCTCGTCCAGTCGAGAGGTGCTGTAAGCACAAAATACACTGGGCTTCAAAGACTCAGTACAAAAGAATGAATTAATTGTTTCCTTAATTAAATGTTGAGAGGGTAGTATTTTGGATATGTTTAGTTGAATAAAGCATATTAAAATTAACTTCACCCATTTCCTTTGACTGTTTTAAATGAGGCTCCTAGAAATTCTTCATCTGCACCTGTGGCTCACACTATGTTTCTGCGGACAGCGCTGGTCTAGAGCTCTCAGCGCGGTGACTCTCGTACAAGAGGAGCTCCCAACTCGGTGGTGGTTTGAGATGAATGAAAAGCAGCAGTTCGCCCATTTCATTTCATCTGAGGAGTTTTGTCTCAGTCTCCCCCCTTTTTCTTGGTTGATGTGGAGCAGGAGGACTACTAATTTGTAGCCCTACTAATAAGCAGGACCCAAATCCAGGAGACAGACGTTAATTAAGGAAGAAACTCATCTGAATGTGAAAGAAATGCTAGCTCCAAAGTGATGTCTTCTGACATTGTGAGATGCAAGATGTAGTTTAAGAGAGACATCAAGAGACCTTACACTTTTAAGTAACAAAAGACTTTTAGGAAGCGCTTAAGCGGTTAACCTCATTTAAATTTAAACCTTTCGCCATTAAATGGTTAAATGAATTTTTGTTTCAAAACTAAAATTTGAAGGTAAAATTGAAAGTGCTTTCTGCCACAGAAAACTAAATGAATAACAGGATGAGCATTGGAAAAGGCAAAGAAATGTTAAATGGATGCTTGTGGCCAAATTAATAGCAAACTAATAGGTTAGAGAAGATTGCCTCTCACCCATGCACCCAGTGGATATTGGGAACAGCTGGCTTTTTTCCCCCCTGTCTCTTCCCTGTTCTTCCTAGCTCTCCTTCTCTTAAACTTCTTTCCTTTCTTTATTCCGCTCTTAAAAAAAAAAACTCCTGCCTTCGTGTATCTTTCTCTCCTAATTTATTATAATGCTAGATTACAGCACATTTAAAGTATATTGCTCATTTACTTCTTTAATTCACCCCAAATTTATTTATTTTCCCAAATTTATTTTTGAATATAGTATGATATAGGGATCTAAATTATTTTTTACAGGTAGTTAATCAGAGCATTATTTCTTGAATACACCATTGTTTTCTTGTTGATTTATAATGTCAGTAATCATTATTGAGAGCTTACTATGGGCAAGGCAATGCTTTGAGAGCTTTGTATTTAAATTCCTGCTTATGTTTCTTAAGTAAAGGTTTTCCTCATGTTTAGACATTTTAAATGAAACATTTTTTTCTTTTCTTTCATTAAGCCATTAAGAAAATACAAAGTTGCTTTTCTGCTTGGGTCCCAATTTTTTTTCTCCCTGGGAGTTGAGACTCTCTCATAAAACAAGTTCCCTGCCCTCTACTTTAAGATGGGTGGAGGAGTTGCAGACACCAAGAAATTCCACTTTTCCATTTCTCATCAGGGATGTTACTTTATAGGTGTCTTTCAGGTTGCAGAAAGGTTGCAAAAAAGGATATGCGCACTATGCCCCAAAGACCTCGAGTGTAGTGTCCTGTACTTTGCACAGTCAGAGAATATAGCTGCTCATGAAAACTGTTTGGTAAGTTACTTGAAAACACATGAGTCCTTTTAGGGAAGGACATACCAAAATAGATAAATGTACTCTGGATACAACAAAGAGTAACACGTTGGCTGCCCATGGCTTGGGCTTTTTTTTTTTTTAATGAAAGCTTCTTTATTTCTTTATTTATTTTTTGGCTGTGTTGGGTCTTCGTTTCTGTGTGAGGGTTTTCTCTAGTTGCGGCGAGCGGGGGCCACTCTTCATCGCGGTGCGTGGGCTCCTCACTATTGCAGCCTCTCTTGTTGTGGAGCACAGGCTCCAGATGCGCAGGCTCAGTAGTTGTGGCTCACGGGCCCAGTTGCTCTGCAGCATGTGGGATCCTCCCAGACCAGGGCTCGAACCCGTGTCCCCTGCATCAGCAGGCAGACTCTCAACCACTGTGCCACCAGGGCTTTTAAGTGGGGATTTGGGGAGCATATTTTTCACTTTTTAAAGTTTCAGATCTTAACTTTATGATTACTTTCTTAACCTTATGATTACTTTCAGTTTTATTTATAACTGATCAAACACACAAAGAATTATGATGAAGTTCCTTTAAAGATATTTTAATTATTTCAAATATAACAGATACCCATAGACACTTCACCCAGATTTATAAAATCATGATAGTATATGATATTTGCCTCAGCTTGATTTTTTTTTTTTAAGAAAAAAAAAAAACATAGTTAAGGACTCTCTCTTCTCTCTGTTCCCTTCTCTCCACCCCTCCCCAGAGGTAATTGCCATCACAAATTCGGTGTTTCTTATTATCTTGTGTTTTTAATTTTATGCTCCCACCACGTTTAAGTATTTATAAACAAATATATTGTTTTACATGTTCTTGGACTTTATAGAATTTCTATCAGATTCTGTAGATTATTGATATATATCCATGTTGATAAATGTAGTTCTAATCTTTCATTTTAAATGTTATTCCATTTTATGACTATAATCACCATTAAAGTATTCTGTGAATGAGCATTTATGGTTTTCCAGTTTTTTATGCTACTGACCAGCTGTCATAAATATCCTTGTATAGGTCTCCTAATTCACGGGAGAATTTCTCTGGTCTAGGGCACTTAGAACTGCTGGACACACAGGAAGGGAACATTTTGCACCTCACTAAATGTGCCAGATTGCTCTCCAAAGGGGTCGTACCAAGTTTGACTTCCACTATTTCAGAGTTTGCTTCTCTTCTTCCTTGTCAACACTTGATTCTATGAGATTTATTTTATTTTTTGGTATGGTAAAAGTATGTTTACTTTTGAAAGAAATTGCTGAACTGTCCTCCACTGTGGCTGTACCATTTTATATTCCCACCTGCAATGAATGAGAGTTCATGTTGTTCGTATTTTTTTTAATTTAATTTTATTTATTTATTTTTATACAGCATGTTCTTATTAGTTATCTATTTTATACATGTTAGTGTATATATGATGTTGTTCATATTTTAATTTGTAATTCCCTGATGACATATGACATGTGGTGTTGAGCATCTTTTCATATACTTATTTGCCATTTGTATATCTTCTTTGGTGTTGTCTGTCCAGATCTTTTGTCCAATTTTTAATTGGGTTGTTATTGTTTAATTGGGTTTATTGGGTTGTCTTACAATTAACTTTTAGGAGCTCTCTATATCTTGGATACAAGTCCTTTATCAGATATATTTTGCCAATATTTTCTCCTAATCTGTGGCTTTTCGTTTCATTCTCTTTACAGTGCCTCCCTGGATCTGTGGTTTGGTGTCTGTCATGATATGAGATTTTCATGTTTTCCTCTCTGATGGGTGTGAGATGGTCTCTGGTTGTTATTTGCATTTGCAGTTCCTAGATTACTTAGTGAGCTTGCACCTCGTTTGCTGTGCTCCTGTGTGGTTCTTTTTTTGATTCTGTGACTTGTGTTCATAGACTACACTTTATCTTTGAGATCTTAGTTTTGCTTATATGTATTTATTCACATATAAATAAATTCTAATGCTTTATTATATATGTTTGCTTTTAATTTTATTTATGGTGCTTTCTGTCATACAGAAGCTTGTGATGTAATTAACATTCATCATTATTTTCCTTCATAATTTGTAGGATTTTTCCCCTAAGAAATTCTTTTCCGAACTAAGATTCTGTCTTTATTCCAAAAAGTTTAAAAATTTTGCTTTTCTCATTTAGCTTCTTGATCCAACTGGAATTTATTTGGATTATAGTGTAAAGTACGGACCTACTTTTAGTTTTTTTTTTAATGCGATTAACCACCTTCCCCAGCACTATGATTGAAAAATCTATCCTTTCCTCACTGATTTGTAGTGATAATAATGATAACTGTTGTTATTATTTGGTGTTCACTGTGTAAGGTAATGTTCTGGGAGCTTAACCTAGGAGCTCTGGGAGATTAACAGGATTAACTGTTAATCTTCACAACTACCCTAAGAGGTAGGTATTATAATTATGCCCAAACTAAAGGTGGAACAACTGAGGCACAGAGAAATTAAATCACTTGCCCAAGGTCACAGGGCTGTAAGTGACTGAGCCGGGACTCTCACCCAGCTATCTAGTTTCAAACCCTCATGCTAATCCGTTGCTCTAACAGTATTGTCATACGTGCACAGATCTCTTTCTGGCTCTCCATTCTCTTCCATTGGTCACTTGTGTATTCCTGAGCTGGTACAATACTCTTTTTTTTTTTCTTTTAAACAAAACTCGCATTTTATTTAGGTTGAAATAAACTATACGAAATTGATTTTCTTCACCAAAAATAACAAGGAATATTTTCTGTATTATTCCTAAATAAACCACAAAACACTTATTTTTGTAGGTTTTCTAGGTTTTGCTTGTAAATCAAGATGAGGCAGTAGATACAGTCATGGAAAAAGAAGAAAACAGACAAATCAGTTGTCAGTATCCATGGCCTCTGATCCTGTCTTGACCATGAAACAGAAGTGTTCAATGTATACCTGCCAAAAAGCTTATGAAGATGTAGGCTCAGTAAAGGAATGTAAACAGCAACAACCAGATGTGGAACAACAATGGCAGGCTCTTCCATTCAAACTTTAACTATAACTTGTTCCTTTAACTTCATTTGATAAAGACAGAATCTACACTGAAATCCTTGTTTGGCGAGCTCACACGTTTCTCTTACAATCTGATAATTTTCTTAACTGTCCCTTACAGATTTTTAACAGCATACTTAAAACTCCTACTATTCAAAAGTCAGTCATGAGCTTCATTGTAATGTTTTATGAAACGTATTCCTTCCTCCGATACCTCCTCAAAATTTATTTCTTCAAATTGCTGATAACTCAATACCTGACAGTTGGATCCACAGTGATGTTATGTCTAAAATGACTTAACTAATACAATTCCAAAGTGCCATTAGCAGAGATCACACAGAGTGTAACATGGTACTCTCAATGCTATCTTTTGGAAGAATAGTTAGGTCTCCAAAGCATGAGAGTTCAAACAGGCCATCTAAACAGGCAGATTATCAGTGACTAATGAGCTGGTACAACACCCTTAATTACTATGATTTTATGATAAACCCTGGCTTTATTATTTTTTTTTTTTTTGCGGTACGCGGGCCTCTCACTGTTGTGGCCTCTCCCACTGCGGAGCACAGGCTCTGGACGCGCAGGCTTAGCGGCCATGGCTCACGGGCCCAGCTGCTCCGCGGCATGTGGGATCCTCCTGGACTGGGGCATGAACCCGTGTCCCATGCATCGGCAGGCAGACTCTCAACCACTGCACCACCAGGGAAGCCCAGGTCTTCTTTTATGAATTTCAAAAATGTCCAACAATTTTTTTTCTATAGAGGTCCAGAACTTTGGGTTAGGCCTATTCCTGGGTTTGTTTTTTTGTTTGTTTTGTTAATACATTTTTTTAAAAAAATTTATTTATTTTTGGCTGCGTTGGGTCTTCGTTGCTGCACGTGGACTTTCTCTAGTTGCGGCTCTAGGCGCATGGGCTTCAGTAGTTGTGGCACATGGGCTCAGCAGTTGTGGCTCTTGGGCTCCAGAGCGCAGGCTCAGTAGCTGTGGCACATAGGCTTAGTTGCTCTGTGGCATGTAGGATCCTCCCGGACCAGGGCTCGAACCCGTGTCCCCTGCATTGGCAGGCGGACTCCCAACCACTGCGCCACCAGGGAAGTCCCTGTTAATACATTTTTAAAGTGAGCTATTATTGGTATACACAAAAACTGTCAATTTTTATTTATTTTTTATCTCATCCAACGATCTTGCCAAACTCTCAAATCTAAAAGTCAGATTCACCTGGATATTTTATTTGGACGATCCTCATCTTTAAATAAAGATGACTTTTCTTCCTTTAAATTTTTGGGCCTCTTAATTTCTTTTTCTTATTTTACTGCATTTTTCTAGAACATTGTGTTATAGTGGTGATTAAAAGCATTTTAGTGAGCCTTGTCTTGTTTTTTATATTACTGGGATGCTTCTAGGTTTTATCATTAAATTTGTGCATACTTTTTAATACTTTTACTTTATTAAAATTAGGAAGTTTCCTCTTATTTCTAGCTTGCTACAAGTTAAAGTATTGAATATTATGAAATGCTTTTTTCTGCATCTATTGTAATGCTCTTCTGGCTTCTTTCACTCTCTTTCTCTGGCCATGCACAATGCTAGATGCTTTATTTTTTTTTTAATTTATTAATTTATTTATTTGGGGCTGTGGTGGGTCTTCGTTGCTGCGTTCGGGCTTTCTGTAGTTGCAGCGAGCGGGGGCTACTCTTCGTTGCGGTGTGCAGGCTTCTCATTGCTGTGGCTTCTCTTGTTGCAGAGCACAGGCTCTAGACGTGCGGGCTTCAGTAGTTGTGGCTCTTGGGCTTAGTTGCTCGCGGCATGTGGGATCTTCCCAGACCAGGGCTTGAACGTGTGTCCCCTGCATTGACAGGCGGATTCTTAACCACTGCGCCACCAGGGAAGTCCGATGCTTTATTTTTTATATACACAACTTTTTTTAATCTCAAACTTACAGAAAAGTTGCACATACAGTACAAAGTACCTTTTTTGTTGGAACTGATGAAAGAAATATTCACATATTTAGATATAGGGAAGTCATTCTGGCTTATACATGAGTTAACTTGAATTTTATGCTAACTAAAATAGCCTGTTTGTGACCTATCAAATATACACTGTACATTTGCTTTAATTATTAGAGAAAAGGACACATTGACCAGAAGTAAAGAATGTCCATGTTAAAAATAAAGATTATATGCCCCTCCTCCTGGGATGCCAATGCTGGTACTCCTTTGATGATAAAACTCCCTTCCCAGGTTCCAAGGCCATACTGAGTCACTGTGTACATGCTAGTCTGTTTTTTTTTTTTTTTTTTTTTTTAACGTTGAAGAAATGTAACCCTGACTCGTTTATTGCTCTTTGTTCTGACAAGATATAAAACTGTGCTGGAAACAATGCTTCTCCAGAGCAGTTTCTCAGAGTAATCTGGGAAGTGGGCTTCCAGGGTAGTCCTCAGTTTGGCTCAAATAAAACTCTTTTCTATTCTTATTATAGACTGTTTAGTGATTATTTTCGTTTACAGAACCATTTGAAATTAATTTGAGACATGATGCATTATCTTTCCTGAATACTTCAGTATGTATTTTATACAAAGGACATTCACATAATCACAATGTAACCATCAAAATCAGGAGTTTGATATATTACTACAATCTAATCCTCAAACCACCCAGGTTTCAGGTTCAAGTGTCCTAATAACTTTATAACAAAAGATTCCGATTCACAGGTTACATTTGGTTTTCATGTCTCAAATTTTCTCCTTTTAATCTGTTAGTGATAAATTATGTGCTTGTTTATTTTCTGCTGTTAAACCATTCGGAGATTAACACTATTTGATTGTGATGTTTTATTCTAATATACTGTTAATGTTAATTTGCTATTTTTAGTTAACGTTGTCAGTATAATTTACATTTAAAAATCACCCATTTTGGGCTTCCCTGGTGGTGCAGTGGTTGAGAGTCCGCCTGCCGATGGATGCAGGGGACACGGGTTCGTGCCCCGGTCCGCGAAGATCCCACATGCTGTGGAGCGGCTGGGCCCGTGAGCCATGGCCGCTGAGCCTGCGCATCCGGAGCCTGTGCTCCAAAACGGGAGAGGCCACAGCAATGAGAGGCCCGCGTACTGCAAAAAAAAAAAAAAAAAAAAAAAAAGCACCCACTTTACGTGTACAGTTCAGAGAGTATTAAGTCATGTATTTACCAACGTAACCACCACCACCATCAGGATGTAGAACATTTCCATTACCCCAGAAGGTTCCCTCATGCCTCCTTGCAGCCACTTCCTCCCCACCCCAGCTTCTATAGCTTGAGCCCGTCTTTCTCATCTCACATGAAAGGAATCCTACAGTATGTATTCTGTGTGTCTGGCTTCTTTTGCTCATTACAGTATTTGGAGATTCATCCATGTTGTTTCTTGTATGTGTATTTTGTTCCTTTTTATTTCTGCACAGTATTTCATTGTATGGCTCTATCACAATTTGTTTATCCACTTGCCTGTTGATAGACATTAATTCCAGTTTGAAGATACTAGGATAAATCTGTGAAGATCTGAATATGTGTCTTCATGTGGACATACACTTTTTTTGTGTTATAGTCACTAGTTGATTTTTTTAGATTCCACATATAAGGGATAACATGCAGTATCTGTCTTTCTCTGTCTGACTTATTTCGCCAAGCATAATACCCTCCACATCCATCCATGTTGTTGCAAATGGCAAACTTTCATTCTTTTTTATGGCTGAATAGTATTCCATTGTATGTATGTGTATGTGTGTGTATGTATACATATATACACACACACACACACACACACACACTACATCTTTATCCATTCATCTGTTGATGAACACTTAGGTTGCTTCCATACCTTGGCTACTGTAAATAATGCTACTATGAACACTGAGGTGCATATATCTTTTTGAATTCGTGTTTTCATTTTCTTTGTATGTATACCCAGCAGTGGAATCGCTGGATCACACGGTAGCTCTATTTTTAGTTTTTTGAGGAACTCCATACTGTTCTCCACAGTGGCTGCACCAGTTTACGTTCCCAGCATCAGTGCAGGAGGGTTCCCTTCTCTCCACACTCTCAACAACATTTGTTTGTGTCTTTTTTGACGATGGCCATTCTGACAGGTATGAGGTGATATCTCTTTATGGTTTTCATTTGCATTTCTCTGATGATTAGTGATGTTGGGCATATTTTCATGTGCCTGTTGGCCATCTTATCTCTTCTTTGGAAAAATGTCCATTCAGGTCTTCTGCCCATTTTTTAATCAAGTTGTTTTTTGATGTTGAGTTGTATGAGCTGTTTGTATATTTTGGATATTAACCCCTTACCGGTCATATCGTTTGCAAATATTTTCTCCCATTCAGTAGGTTGTCTTTTTGTTTTTTCAATGGTTTGTTGATGCAGAAGCTTTTAAGTTTAATTAGGTCCCAGTTGTTTATTTTTGCTTATGTTTTCCTTGCCTTTGGAGATAAATCCAAAAAAAAAAATTGCTACGATTTATGTCAGTGTTCTGCCTATGGTTTCTTCTAGGAGTTTTATGGTGTCCTGTCTTACACTTAGGTCTTCAATCCATTTTGAGTTTATTTTGGTATATGATGTGAGAAGATGTTCTATTTTCATTTTTTAACATGTAGCTCTCCAGTTTTCCCAGCACTACTTATTGAAGAGACTGTCTTTTCTCCATTGTATACTGTCACCTTCTTTAAATGTGGACAATAATGCTTTTACTTCTTGAGTGAATACCTATAAGAGGAATGCTGGGTCAAAAAGTAAATGTATGTTTAACTTTAAAGGTAATTGCATCATTTTACACTTCTACAACAATGTGTAAGAGTTTCATTTGCTCCACACCCTCATTGACACTTGGTATTTTCAGTCTTTTTAATTCTAACCAGTCTAGTGAGTGTGTATTGGTATCTCATTGTGGCTTTGATTTGTCTGAGGGTTAATGATTTTGAGCATCTTTTCACGTGCTTATCCACCATTTGTAACTCTCCTTCTCTGAAGAGTCTGTCCAGGTTTTTTGCCCATTTTTAACTGAATTATTTGTCTTACTGAGTGGCAAGAGTTTTCCCTGTATTCTCGATATAATTTTTTTGTCAGATATATGAATTGTGAATATTTTCTCCCAATTTCTGGCTTGCCTTTGTGTTTTCTTAGCAATGTCTTTCAAAGAGCAAAACGTTTTAATTTTGGTGAATTCCAACTTAATAACTTTTTCTTTATAGTTTCTGCTTTTTATAAGAAATCTTTGCCTGTGCCAGTGTGAAAAATTTTTTATCTTATGTTTTTCACGCCCTTTATTATTTAAGTGTATGTGTAATGTTGATCTTTCATTCAGAGGTAGTTTGGATTCTTTTGGTTTCAAGAAACTTTTAGAAGCGCGAGCCAACCTAAATATAAAAGGGGCTTTGCAATAAGTTGCAGGGGCAATTTTTGGCTCCTGAAGACAGGCACACAGGTGGGTATAAGAAACAGGAGCTGGGAAGCCATCAGGAACCCAGGATTTCCTCTCTAGCCCTCATTTTTGTTTTCCTCTCTTTGTTGACTGACTTGCTCTGACCATGTGGCTCAGAGCCTGTTTTAGTCCCCTAGGATAGGGACTTTGACTGGCCCAGCTTGGGGTCAGGGCCCCGACCAGGTCCAGTTAGCCACTGGGGGTCAGGGTTATGCAGTATAAAACATGTCTGGGGATCAGGACAACTCCCAAAGAAAAGCAGGGTGACTTGAGATCTGCTCACACACGCCAAAAGGTGGTCACTGTTCTACGCGCAAGCCATCTTCCACTCCTGGTGAGTACTTTTTGGTACCATTTTCTGACTTGCAGCTTTCAACATTACTTTGCGCATACTCTGGCTTTTTCTTTTCCCAATCTGCAGCTGTATTCCTCGGCGCTTGTGGAATGTGAGGATCATGATCCGTTCAATCATGATAGAAATTTTGATGTGGAATCGGTAAAGAAAGAAGTCAAGAGAGGAAGGAAGTTGGTAAGTATAAATGATTCTATTACTCAGATGAACAGACCCTTGGTGATGCTTTCAAAAGAAAGTCTATTTGATTGATAAACCAGGGGATAGAGATGCAACGTGGAGAGCTGAAAGAAGTAGGACCTATATTGGAAACTTAGATTCAGTTGAATATTTTAATATTTTAAAATAAACTACAATATGCTTCATCGGCAAAGTAGATATGAGTTAGAATGCTTTGGCTATAAGTGGAAGGAACAAACTGGCTTTAAAAACAAAAAAGTGATGCTTATTTTCTTAACTTAGAGGAAAAATTGACTTCGCAGTTGGTTGATTCAGTGGCTCAATGATGGATCATGCCCATCGTCCTTTCTGCCCTCCTGTCCACAACATCAGCTGGTCCCTTTGTGATCATAGGGTGGCCACAGGCAGCGGCTGAAGCATCAGGCTTTCTTGCTCTTATCACAAGAGAAAGTTCATCCCCAAGCATGGATTAAGAGCCCTTCTGAAAGTTTAATTAGGCCACACCCCTTTTTCTGCACCGATTGCTAGAGGCGACCATAACTAATCAGGATCTACCCTCGGAGCTGGGGTCAGCTCCCCCTGGGAAGGAAGAATGCTGAGTAGTTGCTCTACTGGGTCTGCTGTAGTAGACTCCCTCCGTGACAGGCCCTTCACAGCTTAATCCGTGGTACAGCAAGCGTGAGCGCTAACACCCTACCCACCACCACAATCCACAGTCAGGTTAGTGACCTGGAACAAACATTTTTTTAGTCCTTGCAGGATGTCAGCATATACATGGGCAATTTCCACATCGCCTGATGTGCTTTGAGAAACGTCAGCATGGGCCGCTCAGTGAGCAGGCAGATCAGCACAGCTGGGGCTCAGGAAGCCTTCCTAGTTGGGAATGTGGGGGGGAATGAGGATGGGGACGGGGGAAATTCAGAGAGAGGGAACAGGGTGTGCAAAAGCGTGGAAGGCAAGAAAGAAGATGTGGCACATTCATGAAACCATAAGCATAGGACTGTCCCTGGCATTCTCTTCACTGACCTCATGGAATTCCACAGGATGTACTGGAAGGCGTGAAGCCATTCCCTGCCCTTAGATAATGAATTGACAGTTTTTCACTGTGATAGTGAATGCTGCAGAAAACATCTTTGTGCATTATCCTCGTGTGTTGGTTTGATTGGTGCTATACAGCACATTCCTAGAAGTGGAACAGCTGAGTCAAAGAGAATTCCCTTTAAAATCTTTGAAACATGCTGACAAACTATCCCCCAGAAAGACTGTACCACTTTATGCTTCTGTACATAGTGGATGAAAGAGCACTTCTCCCAGCCCGTGACGAAAATGAACATCTCAAACCTCGTTAATTTTTGCCAGTCTCAGAAAGTTTTCCCTTGCGTTTCCCTGATCACTGGAGAGGTTGCACGTTACCCCTCTTTAGTAATCATCCCAATCCTCCCGGCTCACCCAGCTCCAGCAGCTCTTCAGTGATCCCTGGCCACGGTCCAGCACAGCAGTCACTCCCTTGCAAACCCCCTGGACACCCTCCTTACTCACTGAGCAGAGCCCCAGCCTGGGGAAGTGTGTCTGTCTGATGTCTGCAGGAGCTGAGTAGCGCTGGTAGTTGAGCAGTTAACCGGAGAAAAACCCACAGATGTTTTGACTGATCTTAGATTCATGGCCATAAACCTCAAACAGACAACCAGCACTTCATCCTCCACCCTCCACATTTACTCTTTCACATCCTATCATCTCTCTTTAAAACCTTGCTCCACCCCAACTTCTCCTTGCCAAGTTGAGGACTATCCCTGATTTTTTTTTTTTTTTTGGATACTTTCTTTTTTAGAGCAGTTTTAGGTTCACAGGAAAACTGAGGGGATGGTACAGAGTTCCTGTATTCCCCCTGCCCCTACACGTTCACAGTCTCCCCTTTATCAATACCCTCCTTTATCAATACCCTCCACATGTTACAACTGATGAACCACACTGACACATCAGAAACACCCAAAGGCCATAGTTTACATTAGGGTTCACTCCTGGTGTTGTACATTTCTTTGCCAGATTCTTACCGAGAAAATGGAAGCGACTAGACAGGAAGCCCTACTGTCCAAACCACTGCCCACCAGCCTGTCCCCAGACTCTGACTTCCGTCCTGTCAAAGCCAACCCTGCACATGGGCTTTGGAGCCGTCCTCCTTCCCTCCTTAAGGACTAGGTTCTTGCATTTTCCTCTACCCCCTCACATCAGTATCCCTTCTTTCTAACTGATTATTCTTGTCAGCATATAAACATGATCAACTGATCATGTCATCTTAAAAAAAAAAAAACAAAACTCTCCCTTATACACAAAGAACTGGTCATTTACAGTGTCACTTGTCTGACCTTAGTTGACCTGTCAGCAGTATCATCACACAGTGGTCCCTGCCCTGCATCTTGAAGTAGTTCCTTCTTTTGACTTCCTGGACTTACACTGCTAGTATGTCTTTTACCTTTCTGGCTGCTGCTTCTCAGGTGCCTTGGCTGTTTTTCCTCCTCTGCTCAACCTCTACAGTTTGGAGTGCCCAAGGCTCTTTCCTGGGCTCCTTCCTCAATCCGAACATCCTTCCTACATGACCTCATCCAGTTCCCATGGCTTCAATACCATTCTTATGCCGAGACTCTTATCTCCAGCCCCGATGACCAACCTGACATACCTACCTGGATAGGTAATAGCCTCTCATGTTAAACTGGCCGGAAAAGAATAGTTCCATCCCCTATACACTCATACACACGATCCATCCAAACCTGCTCACTTCTCCTCAGTAAACAGCACATCATTTGTCCGCCATCATCCCCGTTTGCATTCTCTTCCCATTTTTCTGTGGGCTATCAGAGTCTTACCCTTTATCTACTATGCAGCAAACAGTCTTTTCCCTTTTTTTAAATGGTATCTATCACCTTAAAAGTCGAGTTTAAATTTTTTATATAGTCAAATCTGTCGGTCTTTTTCTTTTTCAAGGTGTCTCCTGCCTTGCTTAGAAAGCCTCAGTACTGTCCTTCTTTCTCTTATATTTTCTAATTTTTTGCAGCTTTTTAAAAATACTTATTTTTTTATATAGTTAAAGCTTTAATCCACGTGGAGTTTATTTGGGAATATATTGTGAGGTAGGGATCTAACTTTCTTTCCTATACATATAGTCAGATGGCCCCCCAACATTAAATCATTCTTTGTGCTCTGACTTCAAATTCTGCCTTTTGCACAATCTAATTTCTCACCCACAATTAAATTTCCTTTATTTATATAGTTGCTTGTGCTGACCTTGGGATACTGTGTGAGCTGTCACCTCCTGTTTTGCTAGGTGGTTTCATTGTGCGCCGTCATTCAGCCGGAGCATGATATAAACCAGCTGTGGTCATGGCGCAGATTCCCCCAAACAGGTTTCTGTGGCCACGTACTCTCCTCCTAGCCATCTCTACGCCACCTTCCTAGCAGACCAATAGACTGATATATAAAAGCAAGAGATCAAATGAATTGAGCTAAGAAAAAAACTTATTCCTCAGGGGCTTTTTTGTTTTTGTTTTTGTTTTTGTTTTTTACATTTTTGGCCTTTCTACATAGATGCCAAAGAGATTTCACTTCCTTTCTCTCACATCTCCTCAGTAGTGCCTCTGTAAGACAGGCACTGTGATCCTCAGGGAGGAATTCGGGTCTAAGAGAGGGGAAGGGACTGGCTTGAGATCACACAGCTGTTAGTGGCACTGCCAGGAGCTGACCTTGGTCACAGGCTCAGTGTCCCCAACAGAACCTCTTGCCTAGAGCTGGACAGTGTTGCCAACCCTGCTTTTTAGAAATCTCTTTTAAAAAGAGAGGAGAGGGGTTTTTTTGGGAAACAAAAAGGGTTTTCTGCTTTTAATCAGATCATTACAAAACATTCCAGTTAGTTAAGGTTTTGCTGAAATTTCAAAATGAGCAGCTGAATGTCAGGACCCAGTGTTTGTAGCTGAGGACATTAGGGCTGCCAACTTAAAAATAATATTTGATGACATCTTTAACTTTAAATTTTAACAAAGATTCTGAAAAATCAGGTGCTTACTCAGTAAAATCTGTTCTTCTGTAGAAATGCACATTTTGTGGGAAAGCAGGAGCCACCGTGGGATGTGATTTAAAATCCTGTCTCAAGAATTACCACTTTTTCTGTGCCAAGAGTGACCATGCAGTTCTACAAGCTGATGGAGCTAAAGGAACTTACAGGTATCTAATAAAACAGTTTTAAAGCCACGTTTGGGGATTGGAATAAGGACAAGGAGACTTTTTAAAGCTAATTTTATGCAAATGATTTCCAAGTAAGAATGTGGTTTGGGAGATGCCCAGCTGGGAACCTAACTTGAAAGTACCTTCCCTAAGTGTCATAGGAAGAAAAGAAGCAGGGTTGGTTTTGTTTTGGGTTTTACTCTCCCTGCATCCTTTCTTTCCTCATAGAAAGCACTGGTTGACATGGTAGCACAAGTAACCTAACAGGTGGCCACGAGGCTGGGAACAGTTCACACTCTCTCTTTTCTGTAAACAGGAAAGGAGCCTGACTTGTTAGTTCTAGGTCCATGCTTTACCCATCTTGTCTCCAAATGAATGTATTTTCCCATCACTCTCACCACCCTCTTAACTATAAATAGCCTCTAAAAATGATAAAGAAACTATGCAGCAAATACAGTTATCAGTCATTAAGTCCTTGAAGAAATTTACACCTTGTTTGTGTTGCCTTTGGCTTTGAAATCTTGCTCCTTGTTTTTCAATAATTCTCTAATGTTAACTTTGATCCAGTAAGGCATATTTCAAGTCCAAAACAAGTATATTTGTTTTATCCAGGAAGAAACGTGACCTTCCTTCTGATGAAAGAAGTCAGTTAAGTCATTATACAGTTTAGTCAGAAGAAATCAGTAACCCAGTTTTTGATTGATTCAGGTCATGTTCAGCGAACTCTTTTTTGTACATAGATGCAGTCTAGAATATGTCATATAAAGGTGAAGGAAATAACAGTCAAAAGGTTAGGTTTGACCTTTTTAAAGTTATGAGATGGAATAAAACAGAGAATGATGGTCTAATGTTGACGAGCCAGGCAGACACTTCTCACTTCTTTGGGGCATATGAATAGATTCTGATTGAACTGGACATTTTAAATTTCAGTGAAACATATACATTTTTTTCAGGCGTAGTATCTGAATAATAGGATTAGTGTTATGAGAGAATTATTTTTATTTTTTATTTTTTTAATTGAAGTAGTTGATTTACAGTGTTGTGTTAGTTTCAGGTGTACAGCAAAGTGATTCAGTTATACCCATATATATATATATATATTCTTTTCCCTTTATAGGTTATTACAAAATATTGGGTATAGTTCCCTGTGCTATACAGTAGGTCCTTGTTGGTTACCTATTTTACTGATATATATATAGTAGTATGTATATGTTAACCCCAAACTCCGAATTTATCCCTTGCAGAGGATTATTTTTAATATGATTTTTGTAAGATCTGTTACATTCCTAAATGATACTTTAAAATTCCATATGGAGGGTAGATTTTTTCCCCCCTGTGGGCATATATCCCCAATTTTATCAGTGTGTTCCAGAACTATTTTATTTTATTACTTTATCTTTTAACCACTTACTTTATGCCAGGAATACTTCAAAGTACTTTACAAATGTTATTTCGTTTAATACTCTAATAGCCCAGTAAGGTAGGTACTACTATCCCCATTTTAAAGATGAGGAAACTGAGGCCCTGACAGTAATTTGTATCCAGGCCACACATTTGGTAAGAGGCAGAGCTGGGCTTCAGGGCTCCAGAGTCTTTGCTCTTTGACACCATAGCCTCTTTAAGCTTAGCAGCCATATATCCTAAAATGTGGGCAAGCCTAACATTCAAAGAAGTTTGTTAAATAATTTAAAATCTGATTTTACACAGGTACTTTCTTGCTTGAGACTAGACAGGAAATGTGTAAATATGTTAATTTTATATTCTTTTTATATTTGATTTGCTGAGAAACTCATGAATTGAAATATTCTGTTTCACTTTTATTATCTACCTTCCCAAAGAGCTTATTTTATTATGACTTCTCCAAAGACCTAAAACACCCACTAAAAAGACTATTAGCAGAGCTATAAGGTCAAACAAAAAGGAGTCAAGTTCCTGCTATACCTTAAAGTCTGAAAAAATACTGATCATATATTAGTAGAACCAATGAATAGAGACTCATAAAATAATCTTCTTCGTCATAGTTTTATCAAGTATCAGGTGAACTTTTTCATTTTTAAATTGAATTTAAGCATTTGGAGTGGCTGTCACGCACTAGACCCCTTGTTAGGTATAGTGAGAATATAAAGAGAAACAAGATGTGAACTAAAACTATCACCTCACAGGAGGACCAGAAGGTCAAACCTAGTAGGAGCACGTGGCCTGATGGGAGCAGGAGGGGATTTACATGAAACTGGCTTGGACTTCAGTTGATAATTGTTGAAAACGGGTGATGGGTTGGGGGCATGGGAGTTCATCACATCTCCACTTTTATATATGGTTGAAAAAAAAAATTAAGTACATGGCAAACAAAAGTGCTGAGAAACCAGAATCTGAAGGGCGAGGAGATTAATATCGATTGGGGGTGGGCGGGTGGGGTGCTGGGAGGACTGCATGGAGGAGGCGGGAACTGATATACGACAGGAAGAGTTCATACATTCCCCTAGGTGAGGGGGACCCTGCATCATGAGGGTCAGCACCGTAAGGAAGGGAACTGGGGGCTGCGGAGGAAGAAAGGCTGGAGAGAAAACAGGGCCTGAGCAGCTCCTTCAGGTTTACTCACTGCACTTCTTTGCTCTAGCTGCTCTGCTTCTTCCTTCTCTTCTAGGGCACTGATTAGTTCTAAGCTCATGCAGTTCAAACCTAAGATCTGGGGGAGATGCCTGTTGAGTTAGAAAACTACTTTCCCGTCACATAATGCATGCAATTTTGTGCTTATTGTTGAAAGTCAGCAGAACTTTGTGTAGTCAGATGAAAACTTGTGTCTTAGCTGTTGGATCTCTTAAGTATTTTCTTTATACGGTAAAATCTTACTGACCACTGTATATGAACAAGTATTGTTCAAAATATGTAGTCAGCACTCACCCCTGCAGAGAGCACGCTGACCTGTTCAAGGGCACAGGGGACGCTGGCACAGGGTCCATCTACACTTGATGTCTGTCAGTAACTACACAGGCTTGAACAGCAATTTTGTTTTTAACAAATAAATATTTAAGGTTAAGCCCGCATGAAAAACAGATTAGTTCCCTTTTAAATTACAGTGCAATAGGCATAATATTTGAAAAGTGTAAATACAATTATTTGACTCTTTGAAATTTCATGTTTTCAGAGTATTGTGCCAACAACATGCTGACCTTCAAAATGGTAAGTCTATAAAATTTAGTGTTGTGGGTTTAAAGAAAGGTAAACCTTCGGTAAGACATGGAATAATCTGATTTACTGGCCTCACTAAGTTAAAATACAAATTTTTGAGTCAAAATGTTACATACTTTTAAAATTGTCAGTCCCTGTGCAGTGTGCAGTATAATGAACTAAACTTTTCTTCTTCGTGAACTAGACCTACTCTCAGTGAAGCCTTTGTCTGGTGTCCACCATTCTCACTACAGTCAGCTGACCAGACCAAAACATGGTAAGAAGCTTTGACTTTTGTGACTACTTATCTTCTGAGAAGACTATCAGGATCTTCAGTAGATAAAACTGATAAAGTGCTGTATGTTCCCTGAATGCAATTCTCCTAAGAATGCATGATTAGCCTTTCCGTTCTGAGGAAAATTGGGTCCTGGCTACCTGGGGTTACCTGACCTTTGTGCACTGCCGGAAGAGCAGTCTTGCCAACACAAGATGTGGAATGCTCTCTGTGGACAGGAGTCGGCCCTCTTCGGGAAAGGCTTATTAGTTCCCTGTCATGCCAGCTGCATTTTGTGGTGTAAGCAACGCTCTCTAAACAATAGCGTTACCCTTCAGCCATTCCCCTTGCAACTTATCAAATACTATCAAAAACATTGCTGTCAGTCAGTGTTCACTGACAGGGAAAGATGACAATAATGTATTCGTTTTAAAAAGCAGATTATAACACTGTAACGAATCCTCTCCCCAGAGGAAACCATCGTTGTTTCTTTCGAATTCTTCCAAAAATGTTCTGTGTATAGAAACATACCTACTACTATATTTTGCTTTTTCACTTAGTATATCTTAGAAATTCTTCACTATCAGTGGGTATAAGTAGATCTTGCCTCATTTTTAAAAGGCTTCATAGTATTCCACTATGTATATTATTCAGTTGTATAGCTGAACCACAGTTGAACTAGTCTCTGCGTGACTGACATGTAAGTTATTTCCAGCTTTTTTCTATCACATTTAATACTGTAGCTAACATTTTTCTCCACTCATCTTTGTGCCTTTATGTAACAATACTATTAGAAAGACTTCCTGTAAGTAGATTGCTGGGTCAAAGAGTATAAACAATGAAACTTTGGGTAACTGTTGGCTAATTATCTTCTAAAGAGGCCGCACCAGCAGTACACACTGACCCAAATCCTTGCAGATATTATATATTATACATCTTAATCTGATCAATGAAAAATTCTGTTTTACTTTGCATATCTTTACTTATGGGTGAAACTGAGTATACTCCCCTATCTTTTGATCGATTATATTGTTTCCCTGTGATCCAATTTATTTTTCTGTTTAATGAACCCTCTCTCCAGAGTTACCCATTTGCCCATTTTTCCACCCAATTGCCTTTTTTGTATTGATTTATAAGGTCCTTTTATATTTTAAAAATTGGCCTTTTGTCTTTTTGCAAACATTTAATCTAAGTTTGGCATATCTTTTGACTTTGTTATAACCTTTGGCATATAAGAGTTGTACATTTTCTGTAGTCCAGCATCAGTCTTTTCCTTTATGGATTCCAGTATCTACATAATTTATACTTTTCTGCTTACTTTTCAGGAGTGAAAAGTAAAAGGGGGAGGAAAAAACATCTCTCAACAGGCAATCCTGTACAGGTAATCTGAATTAATTTCATTATAGCTTTAAGTTTCTCCATACAATGTCTTTTTTTAACCTTCTGAATTTCAGGTGACACAATGATAGATGATGATGAATATTAAAGAGAAGTTGGATGTGTCTTGGGTATCCAAGCACATAACCTCCAGGAGATGACTGTCCCCTGGCTCCTGTAACACATCCCTGGGTACTAAATCAGTGAGAGGATCTGAGCCCACAGGGTGTTTATGGTCTTAAAACAGGCATAGGTGCAGTGGAACATCCTTACCTAGCCAAGTATTTCCTGGCTGTAGGATCCACATTTGACCTAATTTGTGATTCATAATTTTCTGGATTCCTATTCTGTGTAAAGCATATGAAAATGTTTTGGGGATTTGCAACAGCTCGTGTAAGCTTTAATTAATATGAGCCAGCAACCTCTCACCCTATTTATACAAGAGGTGCTTGTTACACCTGTTAATGTTTTGTTAGACAAAAACGAAACTACATTTGATGTTTACATCTACATATGAACATGGAACATGATTTTCACCATAAGTATATCACTGAATTTGGTTTTCACTTTATGCAATACAGTAAGTCCCCTACACACGAACCTTCAAGTTGCGAACTTTCAAAGATGCAAACGTGCATTCACACGTCTAATCACATTCATGTGTCTGGAGTACATTGTCACACGTCTGCATCCTCTACAAGTGGTTGTGCTTTTGTGTACTCTACAGTACTGTATACAGCAGTACAGTAACTTTATTTCAAGCACAGGACCCGAACGTAGAACAGTACACGAAGACTGCAGCAGCTGTTAAGAATGCAACCCAGTGCTCCCATGTCATCTATGACAGGAAAAGAAGAGCTACTACCCAGACATCAAGGGATCGTTTTGTCAAGAGGGTAAAGAGAACTGAATCCAGCAAGGAACCAGAACCTGTGCCATCACCGTCAGGCGTGAGTGAAATTGCACCTTGCCCTCCATCTCCTATTGCTGACGATCCTTCAGCTCTACCATCTCCCACCTCCTCTCCCTCCTCCAGTCAGTAACTCTTCTTGCCTGTTCATTCGATGCCAGCCCCTGTGTGCCAGTTGTTGTACTGTACTACTGTACTTTTCAAGGTACTGTACTGTAAGATTAAAAATGTTTTGTTTTCTGTTTGTTTTTTATGTATTATTTGTGTGAAGAGTATTATAAACCTATTACAGTACAGTACTTACTATATAGCTGATTGCGTTAGTTGGGTACCTAGGCTAACTTTGTTAGACTTACGAACAAATTGGACTTACAAATGTGCTCTCAGAATGGAACTCATTCACATGTAGAGGACTCACTGTATTAAATGTCAACAGTAAAAAATTAGTGTAAAGTAATCTTGATCTTTCTCTCCTTTTAGCCACCGGAAAGAATGGAATTGGATAGGAAGGAACAGGATGGCAGACACACAGGTTTGCTATAAGTTTTGTCTGTTAACGAATATGACTTACAGTACTTAGTACCATTTCAGAGCTGGTATCCCACTTTATTATTTAGAATTTCAGAGTTGGTATCCCACTTTATTATTCTAGACTTGTAGTAATGAATTATAAGAATAGAAATCTTTTATCATAATTATTCACTCCATCATAACCCCAACAGATCAAAATAACTTATAACAGGTTGGGATGGTCCAACTGCTCTTCAGTATTAAGAAAGGATACAGCTCTTGATATAGAAGCCAGAGTTGCCTGAGTTCAGAATCCAATGACATGCCACCCCTCACACTGTGACCCCCCCCCCGCCCCCCGCCAAGAAGCTTAAGCCAGTAATTGTAACTTTCTCTTAAGGAAACAGACGTTCCATAATAACAGTCAACTGTGACAGAAAAAAATGAGGGAGGCTGTTATCTCAAAGATTTGAAGCTAAATTTTAGAAAATTCTCTTTATTCATATAATTATTCTAAGCAGAGAAGTTTTTATTTTCACTTTTTATAACATTTCATTGTTTCAGCTTGAAAAAAATGAGGTATGATGAAATTACAATTAATAGAAAAGATAAAGGTGCTGTACGTATTACCTAATAATGCTCATCCACCATTAGGCAAAGTCTGAAGAAGTGACCATAAAGTGATGTATGATAGCTGTCCTGAGACAGACGATTTCCTTCTGAAATGTTTTTTTTATTCTTAGATGCAATTGTGAAAGTTCCTTTTCTTAAGAAATGTAAAGAAGCGGGTCTTCTTAATGCTTTATTTGAAGAAATAGTAGACAAACTTCATTTGATTCACGAAAGACTCAGGGATGAGACCACTTCAGAATCAGGTATTGAAATAACAAAATTTCTACATATAGAGACTTCTCACAGACCTACATGTTAAACAAAACCACCCCCCCCCCCCCCAAAAAAAAAGTAAACATTTTCTTTCTGCGCTGTTTCTTTTTTCTTTTCCTTCTTTATCTCATTCTTGAGAGCCTGTTTGTTTGGAGGTTCTAGCAGGGGAGTGCAGCTACTTGTATACCCTTGACCGAAGAACGGTCCTCTTCTATCGGGGAAGGTCATCCTCTTCAACTGAGCGCGCAGCTTCGGGAGGGACGCACGTGGAGCGGTGAGGGAGGAAGGGGACACCCGCCTAGCCAGCCAGATCAGCCGCATCAACCCTGGCGATCAGTGGGGTGACACATGTCGCAGCCAGATCGCCTTCACATCCTTTATCTCATTCTTTAATACAATTTATTGTTCCAGATCTCTTGTCTTTTTATAAATCAACAGGAGGTAGGTAATTGACAAAATCATTACTTTAGTAAAAAATACCCTGATTCCCTGAAAGTTTTAATGTCTTTTCCAGAGGTTCATAACTGAGTGACCATCAAGAGAATGGGCAAGTTCAGAACCAGGTTCAGTCACACACCTGCGCTCCCCCCGCTCCCTGCGGCTGAGCACGCTTGCTGCTAAGATCTGAGAATGGCATTCATTATGCTAGTTTTGATTTGACTCTAATTCTGTTCCTTAAACAAGCAAGTGCCTTTTTTGATACTGTAAAGTATAGAAGAAAGAAGTAATTTTAATGTTTTGGTTGATGTTTGGTTTAGTTAAATGTGGCCTTTCAGAAAGAGCTCTTCGGGACGCTGAAGTTCCATTTGTACACGCAGGTATACAGCCACTTAGCCTTCTCATAACCTGTGTTAGGAGCTTAAAAACTTTATTATAAATACAGTCGACACATAACATGAGTTTGTACTGTACGGGTCCACTTATACCTGAGTTTTTTTCAATAAATACTACGCAATAAAATACTATACAATCCGTGGATACAGAACCACAGATACAGAGGAACCACATATTTGGGAGGCTGACTGTGAAGTTAGTTATGCTTGGATTTGTGACTGCACGGGGGTCAGCACCCCTAACCAACCCCACATTGTTCAAGAGTCGACTGTATAGCTGTCTTAGAAGGAAAAACCTCGACAGTCTGTATTTTGGGTAACAATGTAAAATATATGATTATTTGAAAGGGATTTTTTTCTACAGGACAAAACCAAGAAGTGTAGTTAAGAGCAAACAGACATTTGACATTCTTTTGTTCGTTTACTCTTGTCTCTAGACCAAGCACATCTCGAACTTGAGCATGCCCCTCAGAACCACCAGGGGGGTTTGTTAAAACAGATGGCTGGGCCCCATCCCTGGAGGTTCTGATCCAGTAAAGGTGCTAAGAATCTGGATTTCTAACGAGCTCCCTGGTGAGGCTGCTGCCACTGCAGTCCACAGGGGATGCCTGCTCTGTGTGCTTTTCCTTTTTGAGGGTTATTCTGTGAGGTGTTTCTGCCTATGTAAGTTATTTAAATTAAAACTGAAAATGTTCTTCTTCCTCCAGACTATGAAGAAATTGGGACTTCACTTTTTGACTGCAGATTGTTTGAAGATGCATTTGTAAATATTCAAGCAGGTAAGAGTTATAACTGAGCAGCAAAGTTTATAAACATTTATCATATATATTAAAATAACACTATTCAGGTGATAAAAATCCTATTTTAGAAGAATGTTCACCCTTGCATTAAATGAAAAAGCCCATTAAAAAGCAATATGAGCCCTCACACACAGAAGAAAAAATATATATACACAGGGTCACACATGCACACAGAAAAACTGCACATAAATGGAAACAGTAGTTATCTGTAGGTGACTGGATTATAGTAATTTCTTTTGTCTTAGTGCTCATTGTATTTTCCACATTTTATACATACACACAATGCTTTTGTAATCAGAAAAAGAACTCATCTAAAAAAGTGGAAACAAAAAATTAATTGCAAAATGGAAGTATTTGGGCACCATGTTTGGAAATCAGCAGGAACTGGTGAGGCTGTGATAAACCATGCTGCACTGTCTCCCTCTCACTTGGTATGATGTGTATAAATTTCAGTTCTTTCAACATTAATCTTCAAATCTAATGGGAGAGGAAGGGTTGTGATTGATTCTAAAGTTCATCATCAAAAAAAAAAAAAAAAAGAATAGCCAAGAAACTTTTGAAAAAGAAAACCTAGTGGAAACAGAGAGTTAACCTTTCCATACAACATCAAACAGTGGTCCTTTCACCACTATTTCAGATGCCTTCAAAACAGGCTAAGTTTCCACATTGATGAGTCTGACCTGACTTCTCCATCAAGGCTGCCCCACACAGCTGGGCAGGCTGTGCACTGCACATCCCGGTGGGAGTGGAGGGCACAGGTTGACACAGAGTTTAAGGCAGATGGCTCCCCCTGAAGTTGTACACAAACAGTGCCCTAAACTCTGTTCTTTTCCAGAGATGTATTTGTCTTTCCAGCAAGTATATTAGGAAAATAGATTTTCCCTGTGGATAAAATATTAGTTCATATTCCTGTCTCAGTATACACAACCCTTTCTCATTTTTGTTTTCATATTACACATTTCTATTTGAATTTTGTATTACATTTATAATCAGCAGAAAAAGTCAACAATAGTGTGTTTTTTTAACCAGTCTCTTGAGAATGTCTGCATACGTCTTATGGGAATATCCTTTTTTTTTTTTTAAGAGGCCTTTAAATTTTTTTTCTAAAAAGCTTTATTTTGTAGGTGACTTTCATGTATGTTTATTTTTCTTTCATATAAAAGTAACATGTTTGGAACATGTCACTACCTAGGTTAAGTTAGTTGGGAGTACATACAGTATAGTGTAGTATTTGGGGGGTGTGAGCTCCCGGGGGTGACACTATTTGGAATCGCATGAGAACCAACTTAAAAGACTTAACTTCTCACACCCCAACTGATAAAGACTCTTTTGCTTAATTCATCTTTTTCAGTGTTCCAGAAAGTTAACTGCATGCAGGTATACAGATATTCTTGAGGTGTTTAAAAAATTGCCACTGAGTAATATTATAGTTTATAACGCCTAACTAAAGTAGCTTCTAAGTTTCCACAATGAAAGCATTCCTATTTCTAAATAAAACCGAAAGCTTTTATGTAACATTAAAAATTGGATGCATTTCTCTGAAAGATTTGCCCTTAACTCTTGATAGTCTAATGGCATCCTGTCAACATGGATATTGTGTAGCATGAAGGTTATTTAGTTGCTGCTTTCAAATCCTCAAAAGTATAGAGAAGTGCCTTTTCTGCTATAAAGGTATACAAAATTTTAAAGATTTACAGACCAGCTTTATGTGTGATAAATACTAGAATTGTATCCTGAACTAGAAGAGGAAGCAAAAGCATAAAAGCATCAATTCCTGCTCACAAGACCCTAGATCCTTTTCATTTGGGGCACCGCATTGTGTACTATGCACTTTCAGATGAGGCTAGAAATAGTGCATTGTGTATAAAACTACTGAATAACCTGAAATAATTTTCTTATTATAGCAATAGAGAACAAAATTCATCTATCTGAACAAAGGCAGCAGCAGCTGAAGGACGAGATTGAGCTACTTCAGGGCTTAAAACAAACCTTGTGCTCTGAGCTTCAGTCAAGTTCTACTTCAGATTCTTCTCTGTCTTCTTAAGAATGACCATTTCGTAAGCCAGGAATCAAGCACAGTTGCAAACAGGCTGAAAGCTGGAGACGGGCCTGTGAAAGCCACACATCTTTAGCACTAGGGCCCTCGAGTCTCTCTGGCCCTCAAACTCTGATCCTCACCAGCCCTTAACTGTTCCTGCTGATTTGGCATCTTATTCCTTTTTATTGCCTCCTCTTCCTCATCATCATCTCACTTCTACCCCTCCCCCCAGTAAAATATTTCTGATTCTACTTGAGTAAATTGGGCCATGCCTCCCATCGCTCTAAAAATCCTTTGGTGGATTTTTAGATTTTTAGTTCCCCCCTCCCCCACCCCCACTACAGTGAGCTAAGTGGATTCCAGGTGCTCCTGCCCCCAGGGCCTTTGCACATCCTGCTGTGAAGTCTTCACTGCTCCTCCTGCTGATGTCCTCATACCTATTCCATCTGAGAGTACTTTCTCTTCATATCCCTTTCTCGGTGTAAGCCACTCTATCATACATCAAACCACTGGAGTATAAGCAGTCTGAGGGCAGAAACTCACTATTCCTGTGTTTTCCTCCCTATCACATTCCCAGCAGCTAGCATGCTCAAAAAATGTTGAAAAAATGCATAAACTGTTTTTATCTTTTGAGACTAGTTCCAGCCCTTTAATGTTTCTTTGATATAATAAATCTGAATGTTATACCTGTACCCAACATACCTGTGTGTTTTTAAAATTTCTCTTCAGCCACAGCACATGGGCATAACATCATCTTCAAAACAAACATTTAAAACTGGATGGTCTCTCTGAAGGTTTTTCTCAACCTAACAATATACAATTAAGATTTGTATGCCCTACTACCATGTCTGACCTCTGAAAACTTCACATTTCTACTTTTCTGCCACACTACTTTGATCCACAGTAGTGCTACATATTTCAACATGAGTTTGATCTGAGTCTCCAACATGGTATCTGGCACATAATATGCTCAATATCTGCTGAAGAATATGATATAAACGAAAGAACATGTCCATTCCTGTTGTAATGGCAACCCCAGCCCAAGTCATTAATAACTGAGGGGCAAAATCTCAGTGGTTTTCAAATTTGGCTACACATCAGGATCACCTGAGGCACTTAAAAAACTACGGAAGCCAAAAAAAGATTTTGGAAGATGGCAGAGGAGACAGACTCTGAGCTCACCTCATCTGACAGGCACACCAAAATTACAACTATTTATAGAACTATGGATCAAAAAGACCGAAGCAAACAGAAAAGATCTTCTACAACTAAAGATACCAAGAAAACCACAACCAGACAGGGGGTGGGGTGGGGTGCAGAAACACAATACAGTCGAGACCCACACCACTGGGGGGGCGACCCACAAATGGGAGAATAATCGCAACTGCAGAGGTTCTTCCCAGCAAACAATGGGTCTGAGCCCTACATCTGGATCCCCAAACCCAAGGGTCTTGTGCCAGGAAGACAAGCCCTATTAACATTTGGCTTTGAAGGCCAGTGGAGCTTACCTTTGGGAGTCCCAGAGGGCAGGGGGAAATAGAGACTCCATTCTTAAAAGGTGCACCCAAAAACTCATGCTCCAGGACCCAGGGCAGAAGAAGTAATTTGAAAGGAGCCTGGGAGAGACCTACCTCCTGATCGTGGCGAGTCTCCCAGAGAAGGAGGAGGCAACTGGAGCTCACCCTGGGGACAAAGACACTGGCAGCGGCCATTTCTGGGAGCACATTCCACCATGGAGACACTGGTGCCTGCAAGCGCCATTCTGGAATCCTCCCTCTAGCTTATTAGTCTCAGGATCCAGCTGTGCCCCTGCTCACTAGCCTATAGGTACCAGTACCGGGATACTTCAGGCAGAACAACTGGGGTGGAGCATACACGCCCCCTTAAGACCCCCTGAGCCCACAGCCGTCCCAGGACACAGCCCTGCCCACCAGAGGGCCCAGGACCCAACTCCACATACCAGTGCACAGGCAACAGACCCAGGCACCCTGGGACCCAGCTCTGTGCACCAGTGGGCAGGCATCAGCCCTAGAATCCCCTGGGCCCCAGCCCCACCCACCAGCAGGCCAGCACCAGTCCTGGGACCACCTGAGCCCAAGCCCCGCCCACCAGGAGGTAAACTCAAGTTTCAAGACACCCCAGGCCCTGCAGCCAGCTGTGTCAGGAAATGACCCCACCTGCCAGCTGTCTGACACCAGCTCTGGAACCCCTGGGCCCTGCAGTGAGACCCCAGGACCTGGCTTCACCCACCAGTGGGTGGGAACCAGCCCCAGATCTCACGGACCTGACTCCTGGCTCCAGTGAGCCAGCACGAGCCCCAGGGCCAGCCTCCCGGGGTTCCACAGCTGGCCACCTCATGATCCACGCTGCCAACCAGTGACTGGCTCCTCCATACAAGGCAGGGCCTGGCAACCAATCAGACCAGAGGCCAGCCACACCCACCAGGCTGCCCACAGTAGTCAGCCCACCACAGCAGAAGGACCCACACAGCCCACATGGAGGGTGCCCCTATAGCATATAGCTCCGGTGACGAGAGAGGAGTGCATTGCTGGGACACATAAAACATCCCCTACAAAGGGCCACTTTTCCAAAGTCAGGAATCATAACCAACCTACCTGATACCCAGAAATAAATACAGTAAGTTAGGCAAAATGAAGGGACAGAGGAATATGTTCCAAACGAAAGAACAAGATAAAACCCCAGAAGAAGAAATAAGTGGAGACACAGTTCAAAGTAATGATCATAAACTTGATCAAAGAATTCAGAATAAAAATGAATAAACAGAACAAGAAGTTAGAAGTTTTTAAAGAAGAGTTAGAAAACATAACAACCAAACAGATGAAGAATACAATAACCAAAATGAAAAATACACGAGAAGGAATCAAAAGTAGACTAAGTGACACAGATGAACAGATCAGTGAGCTGGAAGACAGAGTAGTGGAAATCACTGATGCTGGACAGAAAAAAGAATAGAAAGAAATAAGGACAGTTTAAGAGACCTGAGACAACAACAAGCATACTAACATTCACATTACAGGGATCCCAGAAAGAGAAGAGAGAGAGAGAAAGGGCCTGAGAACATATTTGAAGACACAGTAGCTAAAGACTTCCCTAACCTGGAAAAGGAAACAGTCACCCAAATCCAGGAAGCACAGAGTCCCAAACAGGATCAACCCAAAGAGGACCACACCCAGACATATTATAATTAAAATGGCAAAAATTAAAGATAAAGAGAGAATATTAAAAGCAACAAGGGAAAAGCAACAAGTTATCAATACTTATAAGGAAACTCCATTAAGGATATCAGCTGACTTTTCAGCAGAAACTCTACAGACCAGAAGGGAGTGGCACAATATATTTAAAGTGATGACAGGGAAAAACCTACAACCAAGAATACTTTACTTGACAAGGCTCTCGTTCAGATCTGATGGAGATCAAAAGTTTTACAGACAAGCGAAAGCTAAAAAATTTCAGTGCCACCACCAAACCAGCTTTACAAGAAATGTTAAAGGAAATTTTTTAGTGAAAAAGAAAAGGCCACAACTAGAAACATGGAAATTATGAAAAGAAAAAGCTCATTGGTGAAGGCAAACATACAGTAAAGATAGGAAATCAGCCATGAACAAAGCTAGCAGGAAGGTTAAAAGACAAAGTAGTAAAATTGTCTATATCCACAATAAGCAGTTAAGGGATACAAAAAATAAATAGATTTAAAATATGATGCCAAAAACAGTAATCATGAGGGGAAGAGAGTACAAATGTAGGGCTGTTAAAATGCATTTGAAATTAAGAGATCAGCAACTTAAAATAATCACATATATATATACAGATTGCTATATAAAAACCTCATGGTAACTGCAAACCAAAAATGTATAATAGATACACAGACAAAAAAGAGAAAGGAATCCAAACATAACACTAAAGATAGTCATCAAATCACAAGGAAAAAGAACAAAGAAGAAGAAAAGAACAAAAAAGAACTATAAAAACAACCCCAAAACAACAAATGGCAGTAACTACATACATATCAATAATTACTTTAAATGTAAATGGATTAAATGCTCCAATCAAAAGACATATAGACTGGCTGAATGGCACAAAAACAAGACCTGTACACATGCTTCCTACAAGAGACTCACTTCAGATCTAAAGACACATGCAGACTGAAAGTGAAGGGATGGAAAAGGGCATTCCATGCAAATAGAAATTAAAAGAAAGCGGGGGTAGCAATATTGTACCAGACAAAATAGACTTTGAGGTGGGAGAGGGAGGATGGACGGGAGGCTCAAGAGGGAGGGGATATGGGGACATGTGTACGCATATGGCTGATTCGCTTTGTTGTGCAACGGAAACTAACACAGTATTGTGAAGCAATTATACTCCAATAAAGAACCATTAAAAAAAAAAAGACTGTAAAGAAGGACATTACATAATGATCAAGGGATCAATCCAAGAAGAGGTAACAATTGTAAATATATATGCACTCAACATAGGACCACCTAAATACATAAAGCAAATATTATCAGACATAAAGGGAGAAACTGACAGTAACACAATAATAGTAGGGGACTTTAACACCTCAATTACATCAATGGACAGATCGTCCAGACGGAAAATCAATAAGGAAACACTGGCCTTAAATGACACATTAACCATTGACAAAACAGGAAGACAACCTACTTAATGGTAGAAAATATATGCAAATGATACGACTGATAAAGGGTTAATATCCAAAATATATAAACAGCTCATACAACTCAACATCAAAAATACAAACGAAATTAAAAAATGGGCAGAAGACCCGAATGGACATTTCTCCAAAGAGGACATACAAATAGATGGCCAACAGGCACACACAAAGATGCTCAACGCTGCTAACACTAGGGAAATGCAAATCAAAACTACAATGAGATATCACCTTACACCTGTCAGAATGGCCATCATCAAAAAGACCACAAATAGGGGAGCTTCCTGGTAGTCTAGTGATTAGGATTCACTGCCGTCACTGCTGTGGCCCGGATTCAATCCCTGGTTGGGGAACTGAGATCCCACAACTTGCACAAAGCGGCAAAATAAATAAATAAAAAGACCATAAATACCACCAAATGTTGGCAAAGATGTGGAGAAAAGGGAACCCTTGTACCCTAATGGTAGGAACGGAAATTGGTGCAGTCACTGTGGAAAACAGTATGGAGGTTCCTCAAAAAACTAAAAATAGAACTATCATATGATCCAGCAATCCCACTCCTGGGTATATCTCCAAAGAAAATGAAAACACTAATTCGAAAAGATATGTGCAACCCAATGTTCACAGCAGCATTATTTACAATAACCATGATATGGAAGCAACCATATGTCCATCAACAGATGAATGGATAAAGATGATGTGGTGTGTGTGTGTGTGTGTGTGTGTGTACTAGTCAGTCATCAAAAAGAATGAAATTCTGACATTTGCAGCAACATGGATGGACCTGGACAGTATTATACTTAGTGAAATAAGTCAGAGAAAGACAAATACTGTATGTTATCACTTATATATGGAATTTAAAAATAAAACCAACTATTGAGTATAACAAAAAAGAAACAGGCTCACAGATACAGAGAACTAGTGGTGACAAGTGGGGTATGGGAAGGGGGGAGGGGCAAGGGGGGGTAGGGAATTAAGAGGTACAAACTAGTATGTATAAAATAAACTAT